GCGGAACTTGCATTATTGTTGTGCTCGAAGTTACTTGTCTCTGCGATTCAGGAGGGTGGATGCCATGTAAGGGCGCATTGAATAAATGATGCGTACCTTGAGAACCAGATGGGCCAGCGACATCCAAGCGCTGAGCCAGATCCGTGTGCGAGAACACAGTCACCCGTGCTGCTTCAATATGATCCTGTACCAGTCGGTTGGTCGCGTTGACGAGATTCAAATACCACAGAAGGGCATTCCCAAACCTCCGGCGCAATGAGTCCTACCACACGATTTCGTCGCTCGCTGAGCCACAGCAAATAGCAAAAAAAATGAGCAGACGTACTCTCGTTGTAAGTTTGTACTTTCTATAGCCTAGGAATGCCTCCAGGGTCGCGCAGAACGACGTTGTATTCGGAGGCAGCCGGAGGAACAGCTCTTGAGCAAATTGAAGGAGATTGATGTTGACGGCTAATGTCGGGGCTTGGGGCGCACACGGGAACAGTCCTCGCGAGAGAAGCTGGAGGGCGGCAGGCGAACACTGGCATGCACCGATCTGAATGTTTTCCAAGCCTTCTGAACCATTAGTCAGGATATTCAACTCATCAGCAGACGTGAAAGCGACTCACGCTCGAAGAATACGCAGACAATCTGCAGCGTTCGGGCGTCCTTCTGTCCACAAGTGCACGGCTGCTTTGAGGGACGCTGCACATTGCGAAGCGATTCCGACTCGCATAGGAGCTTCAGATGGGGGCGGAGCAATGAAGGTATAGTCTCGGTTGCCCACCGTATCCACTGCCGCTCCTTCTTGCATCCTTCCCTTGCTCGGCGCACTTCGGGGTCTTCTGGCAGGTAGGTCGTAAGGACGCCATCGAAGAGCGACTCGAACTCCGGTGGGTGAGCCTCTGGAAACGCGTCATCGGCATGTTGAGCAGCTGAACCGGATGGCTGATGTGGAGGTCCAGAACGCGGCGCACGACAGTTCTTAGGCGGATTAACCTGCGTGTACGTGATTCCACCGGGCAATGCGATGACCGCATCGCGTCCAGGGATGTGGCGGTTCTTGACACCTCGCGGGCGTCGGACACGAGGGGCATCGGATGGCTGAATGTACTGTATGATGGCCTCGAGGGGTTGATTGCTGCCTAGACATGCTGTGCTCCCTGTTCGCAAAGGGGCGCGCTCTGATGCTGCAGTGGGCTGAGAAGCGGGGCTGGTAGATGATGCGTTCGCTCGATTGGGCCTATTGAACGACATTGTGCTGCTGTGAATGACGGCCACAAATCCGTTGAGTTACAATGAAATACACGAAGAAATCACCACGCACCAAAAGTACCCGGAACACCCAAATAATCCAACGCTGCTAACGATCCTACTCTCCGAGGTAGGCGTACTCTCTGACGGCGATGTGCTGGGCGGAAACGCGTAATCTGGGCGCCGAATGGGACACGAGCCTAGCGGAAAGTTCTTGCATGCGCTTGCGTTGCAAAGAATCGCATTGAAGTCGTGCCACCGCGTCCTTGTTCGGCACCATGGAATCGGCGGTTCGATATCCATTCCGGGCTGACAACGACGAAGTCAGTGGCGCGTAGTAGTGGCATGCGAGTGTACTGACCGTGCATGCCTAGAGAGGTGGCACTGTAATGCTTCGAACCCTAGTAGCAATACATAGCGTAGCCATTCGTCATTGAATGAAAAGCCAGAACTTACCATTCGGGTCCTAGCGGGAACTTATCGGAGGATGCGAACGTGCAGGCGAATCGGCAATGAAGTCATGAGAAGAGTAGCAGAGAGAAATAGAGTATTAGACTCGAGCACGCGAGGGTCGAGGTCTGAGGTCATCGAAAACGTGGCAGCGAGATAGTCCGATCAAGCGGACAAAGACGGACTCGACGTGTTGACTTTGGTCGCCGGACATCCCAGCTCCTGGTCTCTCCCAGCGCGCGTCTCTACTCTCTGAACACCTGCAATCGTGCTATCAGCTTTGCTCTGGACTGCTTCACCACTTTTCGACTCTCGTTGCATCATCTGGCTTGTTTCCTTGGCTGCTAGTCTCTCACAGCAACTCCCACCTTCTGGCCAGGATAGCTCAAGGTCACAGCTCGAAGTGATGCGAGCGCGAGCAAGAAGGCAACGCCATGTACGACTTCTGGAGTCCTGGACTATCCAGGGGAGTCCCACTCTCCGTGGTTACCCGTTTTTCATGTGAGTTTGCTCTCCTCGCGTCCGTGAAGTCTCTTTTGTGACCATAATCACACCTCGTTGTACCTGAACAGCGATGACTCCGACTCGTGTTCGAGGATCGTCATGAACGACAGGGCTTGCTCAAGCTCAAGCCCAACTCCCTTGGTCTTACCGACAAGGAAGCAGATTGTGAGTCTGAGATTGCAGATTCGGATCTGGCGATTTCTGACTGAATAGCATTGTTCCTGACCGAAACGCGCTGCGCCATTGCCGTTTAGGTCTGCCAGGCGTAACTCACTCAGTTTTTGGATGGCGCTGGGCCAAATGCGGTGACAGCGGCATGGCGAAGTAGAAGGTCGCGTAGCGACGCTCATCCGTTGCGGTAAGCTCATTTCTCATTCTACAGCGCCGACGCAGTGACCAGACCTTCACATCGACATCTGAAGATCTTTCCATGGTTCGTTTTCGTCAACGACACGCTCGTCAAACTTTTCTCCTCCAGTCAGCAATCATGCCTCGCAGCAAGTCCGCGCGTCCTCTCCCCACCGAAGAACGTCCGGCTATGGGACGTCAACTGCGTTCTAGTCGCCTTGGCGCTCCAGCGAAGTCAACAGTGCCTCATAGCACCCCCGCAAATGCAGAGATCGTTGGAAAAAATGCTGAGGGTTTCATTCGCAAGGTACGTGCTTAGGACTGCGATACATATGTTTTATTGACAGTTATATCCTCAACGCCTCTAGAACGTGCGTCAGACGAGGATGAGCTCGAAGAAAATGGCATCTTTGGTCTCTGAGATGCGCGTTCCGACTCTCGACGATGCGGCAACAGTCGTCAGACCAAAGAGACAAAGGCAGTCCAGGAAGGCGAAGGTGAGCCATCGCTGTGCGACGATATTTTGCTTTCTACTGA